CCCACGGGCTGCAGGGGCAGGCACAGCTGCAGGGGCAGGCAAGGCTGCTCGGGAGGGCGGCGCGCGGGCTGCAGGGGCAGCTCCCACGGGCTACAGAGGCAGGCACGGCTGCAGGGGCAGGCACGGCTGCAGGGGCAGACACGGCTGTAGGGGCAGACACGGCTACAGTGGCAGCACGGTCGCAGGGGCAGCACGCGGGCTGTAAGGGCAGCGCGGCCGTAGGGGCAGCTAAAAAAAAAAAATCAGTAAGGGCAGGGCGGAACGTTCGGTGGGCCCTAGGAACGATTCTGCTCTAATACCATGTGAGAATAAGATCGAGGAATGAATTGACTAGGAATGTGAAGGGTACAAGTATGAAACCCTAGAAAAGCTGTACCCCCTATTGTCTACCCCACTACAACCTACATAGGCTATATCATATATGTCTGACAAACATATACACGGTATAGTGGCTTAGCGAGATATAGGCACAACGGAGTGGCTGAGCGTGATATAAGCACAACGGAGTGGCTGAGCGAGAAGAGTGGCTGAGCGAGAGGCCAGCACTTGTGGCGCGTGCAAGCAAGGAGCCCACGCGCAGGTATAGAAATCTTAGTATTATCACACTATCCATTTGAACTCACATCGATGATATAAGTCCAGCCGAACAACGACCTCTCCTCCGTGAGCTTGGACACATCCTCCACAGATTGTGAAATGAGCCCACGAAGATCTTCATTTCTTGATGGGCCAAACACCGTGAACGTCTTGCTCGACCTAGTCGGGCCATAGGTAAACATGCAGGCCTGAAAATAAGAAGTTTGATAAGTAAACAATTGATTTTTGTGAAACACGATATTTACTGGGTTACATCATAGTCGTCAACAATGCTCATGATAAACACTGAAGTATATTGAAACACTTTTTCTTGGCTTGCTGTACGCGGGAAGACATTGTTAAGCTTGAAATGTCGTATATACCTTATTTAAACATGGAAACATAAATATTCAGACACGGTATTAAGCTCACAGGAAAGAGAATAGCAAGAGAAACATAACATACATTCAACGTAGATGTTGTTATCCTCAAGAATCTGTACGTAAACTGTAACACTTTTCCCACGAGGAGGGCAAACATAGCAAGATACCCTCTATTCAGTTCCTGCAATAAACATGTAAGTTAATTTGATTTCATTCAGCAGATCCAACAAGGATAACAAAAAGTACGGACCATCAATTCATTGGCAAGCTCCTTATGTTTCTTTTCTTTCTCTTGATTCAGCAAAATCAAGGAGCGTTGCCGTTTATTACTCTCTGTCAGAATCCCAACCACTTAGTCCATTGGGATAAGATGACTTATTTGTGTAGCGGGTTTGTACGCCTATAATCCCCCAGGCGAACGTGCCTGTAACCCCCTCTAGGACCAATCGGGCATCCACAGTGCAGATCTACTGACACTCTTATCCAGCTCATTCCACAACCTTAAGACTTCAGCTGCATGACCAAGATCACTAGGAACACCTTGGAATATTCTCCCACCTTTTCTCGCTTCCGCACCTGCATCACTTTTGAGAGCTGCAATGGTGCGAAAAATTTCCTCACCTCGTAACCTTGAATGATGATGCAACTTCTAATACCACGATCGCCACCCCCTCGGCAATGCACTCACACTGCACAACCTGATGAGGTTGTGCAGTGTGGAAGCATACATTCATGGAAGCATGGAAAATATGTTATCCGTTCTTCGTTCCATTAGGACCAAACAATGCACAATTGATTTTTTTCGCTGGATAGCAAGACGAACATTCGTAGGTGTTTGAATGAATTACTTTCACAAATTCCATAATTGCAATTTCAGGCGATAAATGCTCATGAAATGAATAAAACTCAATACAAAACAAAAATGAAAATAATGGAATTGAGCTAATGGATGAACAAGTGCCGTCATTGGCGCTGCCAATGTAATATTTCATTACTATTTGAGTTCAAGATATCTGAAGCTTATGTCATTTGCATATATCAAATTTCTTATCAATTCAAAAAATAGTGTTGGAACCCTCTTTTCTACGACAGTTGGCCATTTTTCGCTATGACGAGGGAAGAAAGACAATGATGATGATACTCGAGCGAAAAAAAAAAAAAACAAAAAACAAAAAAAACAAAAACAAGGAGCCAACATTCCAAATGGAAAACAACTTACATAGGAAGTGAATCTGCGATGACATGCAGCGCAACCACGTGAATGGTTTCATCTAGAGACACGGTAATATGACCCGCCGCGTAATCCTCCATGGTTTTCTGCTTGAGCGCCTGTCCTTGCTGGAAGAGGGGAGAGCGGAGCGCGTACCGATGATCTAACACGAAGAAGAAGAGAGGAGAGCCGGCTCACTAACACAAAGAGGAGAGAGAGGAGAGCTGGCTGATAATGAGAGTGGTAATGACAATGAAAGAAAAATGAGGACGAGTGAGTATGAGAGAAGGAAGAGAAAACGAAAAAGGATGCAAATGACTGAAGCACGAGAATGTGCAGGGTATGACGAGGAAAAAAGACAAATGGAAGGAGAGATTCGAGAGAACGAAAGTCACTCAGCAGTTTTAGGCTGTCTTAGACTCTACGACGGAAACAGGGTGTTGCCGCACTTATAAGGTTGAATGTGTCAATCTTACCACGGGTGGGTGCCACTCTCTGGTATCATGCGTTGAGAATTTGACAGGTACTACTAATGTCAAGAACCAGACAAGAAGATACAAATCTTTGCGAATAAGGCACGGGAAAGAGGGAAAGCAGCGGGAGGGGACTTTCAGAGAGGAGAGAAAAGGAAATGAAAAATGAAAACATCCCTAAGGGACACGGAGAATATATTCACAAATCCATGGAAGAGGGGCGAATTTTCCCCCGTGCCCCCGCGGTCGGCCCGCGCCCGGCCCGGGTTTAGGTCGGGTCGGGCCGAACCGACCCGACCCGGATAGAAACCTGACCCAAGGGCCCATTCCGGGCCGGGTCGAGCCGGGTTTCGGGTCGGGTCTGACTTGACCCAATTTTGGGTCAGAAATGTCGAAATCGGGTCGAGCCAGGTGTGCGACCCGATTTCGACATGGTTTAGGGCCGAAACAAATGAAAATCGATGGGGTTTTTTCCCCGTCGATTTCATTTCACCACGCCAGCAGCTAGTCGACTTAGAGTAATAGGTAGCGATCCTTAAACTACCGCATACCTCAGGATTCCCCACACGACTGCAAATATTTTAAGCAACTTGCCTAGATGTACAATTCTGGCTGCAAATAATCCATTTCGCGCTTGCCAAGAGCACACGTTTTCTGCCACCTTGAATCTAGCGCAACCTCTAGTTTGCTTGCTCCGCGCTACATCCGTGGCACACGCGCATTTAGCCGCAACCGCAGCTCGATTTCACATAGGCCGGCTTGGCCGCTTTCACTGTGACGGGGAGTCCGCGAGCACACGTCAAGGTCCGTTCGGAGGGGGAGCAGTTTCGTGCCCGAACCATGTCAGGCACTGACGGTGATCCTGCCAGCTCCACGCGTATTCCAGGGTTTTCTCTTGCGGCCGTCGAAAATCACATCCTTCGGTGGGGAGGGTTTCCAGTTGGGTCAGCTCTCCCCAGGTGCTGACCCTTTGGCCCATGAAGAGGGCATTGCGGCGCGGCGGACTTTGGAGAAGCAACGACGGCAGGAGGCAATGGACGAGCAGCAAGCTTCTGGTTAGCAGTCGCCAGAAGAACGTCGTGACCCGACTTGGGTGCCGGGTAATGCGGATGCTGGCGCTGCGAGTGACGGTGAAAGCGGTGGCGAAGGTGGGGGGAGCCGTGTGGGACGGAAGAGAGCACGTGTAGGTGTCCCGACTGCTACTGGAGGTGCTGTACCTACTACCGTGTCTGCTCCAGCTGCTGGTGCGCCTGCTGCTGCCATTACTGCTGCTGCTACCGCTACTGCTGCGGCTCCTGCTGCTGCTGGGCATCCGCCCTCTTCTACTGCTGCTGCACGTCCTCGCGCTGCTGCTGCCGGACGCCCTCGCGCTGCTGCTGCTGCACCACTAGTGTTCCGCGCCTAGTTGGTATTTCTTGGGGTTCTATCAATGCAGTGCTGCTGCTGCACCCACTAGTGTTCCGCGCCGAGTTGGTATTTCTTGGGGTTCTATCAATGCAATGCGGGAGGCCTACAAGCAGCCAACCGATAAGAACCTGGATCCTGTTGTGGAGAGTGTTCTGAGTAGGGGAGAGCCGGGATTGGTGAAAGGTATGTTCGGGGCGCTGAAGAACGATGCCCGGCGATGTCTTACGTGCAACACAAAGATCATGTGGTGCGATGGAAACACGAGTTCGGGGGGTATGCATTTGAAGAGGGCGCACTATCCTAGCCTTCAGATTTGGGTCCGTCGCTTTCTGGACCCAAACAAGTCCGATGGGCTTGTTTTCCCAGATGGGGGTTGGGGACGTACGGTACCTGATAAGACTAAGTGGCATTGGGAGCATGCAGACACATGGCCTGACATTCCAGTAGCCGAGGCGGGGGCTGGGCCGAGTGGGTTGACCGGAGGAGCCGCCGATCGGGGGGGTAGGCAGGGCATCATCGATGCCTATGTCACGGCTCTGGTTGGAGAGCGGCAGCTGCGCGAGGCCCTGGTGATGCTGTTTGCCAGCCTCGACATGTCGTTCCGATCTGTCGACAGGCCCGCAGTAAGATATGTGAGCGGTCTCTTTTGTACACACGCATGGTCAGGAATACATTGACAAACTGTGTCCGCGTTCCTCTCACCAATCTCTTCTCTTCTTCCACTCCCAACCATGTCTGTGACCCTCCACATGGCAGTTTCGTGACTTCATCACCCTGCTGAACCCTGACGCGGCACAGCATCTTGGCACACGTTTTCGCCTTGCACAAGACCTGCTGTCCGCGGGCGAGGCGGCTACGGCTCAGCTTTGACAGCTGTTGACAGGCGACGGTCTGGCGGGGCGGGTGACACTCACCACGGACATATGAACTAGTGAGCACCACGTCGCCTTAATGGTGGTGACTGCTCACCGTGTCACCTCAGACTTCAAGCTGCAGCAGATGGTGATCGACTTCAGGCCGCTGGAGGGCCGTCATACGGGGGACAAGATAGCCACTGAGCTGGAGCAGGTTATAGGGGAGGGGGCATTGGGTGGTGGTGAGTTTTTCGGCGTGACCTCGGACAACGCCGAGAACAACAACAGGGCAGTTCGTCTGCTGGCCGACGTCTCTGACCACACACCCGGGTCACGTCCGCGTGACCCCCCCCTGATGTCCCTGTCTCGGCACTTCAATTAAGTGCCGTCCTCTATTGCTATAAGTGTCTAGCGGCATATCGTGTAAAGTCAAGTACCCCAGTGACCCTATACCATAATGGATCATACCCCTCTCTGTATGACATTGCTTGCCCTCCAGGTGCGTGGCCCATGTCCTGAACCTCGCAGTGCAGTACGCATTGGAGGTTGAGCCGGTTGCCGAGGCGCTGCGGAGGCTGCGAGCTGTGGCTAGCCACATCGGGTGGTCGGTGCAGCGGTCGGAGCGTTTTTTTGACATCCAGAGACAGTATGTTGCGACACGTGCGGCTACGCAGGCAGAGGGGGACACCGAAGAGGGGGGTGAGAGGCATGCAGAGGGGGGCACTGTAGAGGGGGGGGCCACGCAAGGAGAGGGCGGCAGCAGTGCGCGGAAGGTACCTGCTGACTTGCGCCTGATCGTTGACTCGGATACGCGCTGGGGTTCCACGCTGGAGATGGTGGTGAGGGGGTGTGATCTGCACATTCCTCTCACGATGCACTTCGATGAGTCCACCGTACGTATGGGGTTACCACTAAGGATTTCCCCATTTCCAATTCATTCTATCCTTTACCCATTGTTGGGGGCATGTTCTTATAACAAATGAGTTGCAGATGCATGTTATGTGGTCTCTAAAGACCACATAAGATGCATCAATATAGACTTCCCCCATGTTCATATTCACTTCATCCCTTACCCACTTTGGAGGGCATGTTCTTATAATGAATGAGTGGCAGATCCATCTCATGTAGGCTCCAAAGCCTTCCCGCACCCCATCCCACCTCTATGTGTTTCCCCCATGTCACGTTCACTTCATCCCTTACCTAATTTGGAGGGCGTGTTCTTATAACGAATGAGTGGCAGATCCATAATTTGGAGGGCGTCTTCGCATATCCCATCCCATCATTATGTGTTTCCTCCATGTGACCTCCATCCCAACCGATTCCTTCTCCATCCCTTTCCTCTCTCCCCCTCTCAGCCTAACATCACCAAGGCCACACGCTTGGCATGGGCAGAGATCAGGCTGTCCAATGCTCACTGGTCATTCCCAACGAGCTGCGTGCTTTCCTCGAGCCGTTTGACCGCATCAGCCTGTTCGTGGAGGGGTCTTTGTACCCCACCATGGGATCAATCGTGCCATAGTATAACATGCTCCTGGATATTCTTGATGAGAACTTGCATTCGCCAGATGTCTCACAGCTGTGCAGGGACCTATCCAGCCGGGCTTTGAGCAAGCTAGAGCGCCACGTGGGGGGGGGGGGGGGGGGGGGGGGGGGGGGGTAAGCGAGGAGGTGGCGATTGCCACCTTCCTCGATCTTCGGCTCAAGACGGCGACCTTCAGGCTCAGGGCCCGTGGGGCGAGGACTAGCGCGCCCATTGTGGTGGAGGCGGGGGGCCATGCCAGGGGGGCCAGGGCACTCGACCTGAGCAAGGAGAGGGTGAAGGCGCTTGTACGCGAGCGCCTTCCACCGTACCAGACAGCGGCCCGTGCAGCGGCAGAGGCACGCGTTGGGGGTGAGGTCACGAGCGCTAGTGTAGTGACGGGGGCGGGCGCGGGAGTGGGCGGGTCTGCAGGGCGTAGGGGAGGCAGGTCGCGCGGCGTGCTCGACTTTCAGGCTAGGCTGTTTGCTGGCGTGGCAGAGATGGAGGCAGAGGAGGGGGTGGGGGCACAGGACGAGGTGGACCAGTATTTAACTGAGGCGAGGCAGCAGCTGCCCGGGCTTAGGGCTATGGCACGCGATTATGTGGGTATCCCCGCCACGTCTGCAGCGAATGAGAGAGCCTTTAGTCAGAGCAGGAACATCATCTGGTGGCAGCGGCACCGTCTGAGCCCACAGTAGATGCGTGCGGCCATGATGATTAAGACTTGGCAGGATCACCACCCTGGACAGAGGCTTGAGATTCGTGGTGGCACTAGGACCACGCTGGCGCAACCGTGCCTCGAGGCAGAGCAACTGGGATTGTGAGAGACAGTTGCTCGGGGAGAGTTGATGCGTTATCATTTGTCATTGTGTCTGAGCAGGTATTGCACTGTTATATTTATTAACGACCGTCTTGTTTATGCGGTAGCATACATTAACAGTAGCAGCATTGGGTTTTTATTAGCGGGCATATTCAAAGTGTGCTTGACCTTCATGCAATTGTTGTAGCGAACACAATGAAAGAACCCCCCAAACCATTATTTGGTGATGCTTCGTACGTCTGTCAACCAGACGTTCATTGTACATGTGAAGGAAAGTGTTCTACAGACAATGCTAACATCACGGGTGGAAGTGGTAGACGCAAGATGTATTAAACAAATATATAAAAAACAAGTACAACAGAGAAACTACACATTGTGATAAACAACCCCAGCCCCCCCTAAAGGGGCAGGTCTAGCTGGCCCGACCCGTGTGAGCAGGCCTAGCGCCTAGAGCAGCAGCCTCACCGGCACCTGGAGCAGGAGACGCTCCAGCACCTAGAGCAGCAGCCTCACTAGCACCTAGAGCAGCAGACTCTATACCTGGGTCAGGCGGCACACACAGGTAACAGGCACCCTCAGCACTAGTAGGCAATGCATACATGGCAGTGAGGATAGCATCATAGTCAAGAGCATAGATATCTACCCTCTGCCTAAGCAGCTCCACCCAGTCGGGGAGCTCAGCTGTGTCGCCAAACTCTGTACGCCAGGCGTCGCTCAGACGAGAGAAGCAGCGGGACTCTGTGTGACCAATCGTCCCGCAAGGCTGACCAGCCCGAGCACCAGTGCGAATGACGTACGGGCAGCGAGCAGTACTCCGTGACCCTCCACTCTGAGCGTACCACTCACGAAGCTGCTGGGGCGAAAGGACCGCGCGCAGACGCTGCTGCAGCGGCACCTGGTCTCTACAAGAAGCTCCTGAACGACCCGCTCCAGGGCGACTCCCACCACGGCCACCCCTAAAACCCCAACTAGCGTACCACTCACGAAGCTGCTGGGGCGTGAGGGACTCACGCAGACGTCGCTGGAGCTGCATCTGGCCACCGCCAGGAGCAGCAGTAGCAGTAGTAGCCGCAGTAGCAGTAGTAGTAGTAGTAACAGCAGTAGCAACAGTAGTAGCAGTAGCAGCGCGGCCACCCCTACAACCCCAACTAGCGTACCACTCACGTAGCTGCTGGGGAGTGAGGGACTCACGCGGACGTCGCTGGAGCTGCATCTGGCCACCGCCAGGAGCAGCAGTAGCAGGAGTAGCAGTAGCAGCAGCAGTAGCAACAGTAACGGCAGTAGCAGTAGTAGCAGCAGTAGCAGCGCGGCCACCCCTACAACCCCAACTAGCGTACCACTCACGTAGCTGCTGGGGCGTGAGGGACTCACGCGGACGTCGCTGGAGCTGCATCTGGCCACCGCCAGGAGCAGCAGTAGCAGGAGTAGCAGTAGCAGCAGCAGTAGCAGCAGAAACAGTAGTTGCAGCACGGGCAGGGTAGTGTGGCAGTGCGCTAGTAAGGCAGGCGCGCGGGAAGCGCGGGTAGGGCAAGTGCTCACCAGTGGCGGGAAGGGCAGTCGCTCGCCGGGCAAGCAGGGTAGGCGCACGACGACGGCGACGGCATGGCCAAGACAGCTGCAGGGCGGGGCCGCGATAGCGGCAGGGGGCTCCTCGGCAGCTGCTGCAGGGCGGGGCCACGAGTGCTGCAGGCGGCTCCGCGGCAGCTGCAGGCAGCTCCGCGGCAGCTGCAGCAGGGCGGGGCCGCGACGGCGGCAGGGGGGGGGGGGGGGGGGGGGGGGGCTCCGTGGCAGCTGCTGCAGGGCGGGGCCGCGACTGCTGCAGGCGGCTCCGCGGCGGCTGCTGTAGGACGGGGCCACTACGGCGGCAGGGGGCTCCGCGGCAGCTGCTGCAGGGCGGGGCTCCGAGGCAGCTGCTGCAGGGGGGGGACGCCCAGGGGGCGCCGCGATGAACAGGAACGTCGCCCAGGGGGCGCCGCGACGAGCAGGGGTGACGCCCTGGAGGCGTCGCGACGAGCAGGGACGGCGCCCAGGGGGCGCCGCGACGAGCAGGGGCGACGCCCCGAGGGCGCCGCGACGAGCAGGGGCGACGCCCCGTGGGCGCCGCGACGAGCAGGGGCGACGCCCCGGGGGCGCCGCGACGAGCAAGAATGGCGCCTAGGGGGCGCCGTGATGAGTAGGGGCGACGCCCCGGGGGCGTCGCGATGAGCAGGGACGGCGCCCCAGGGGCGTCGCGACGAGCAGGGACGACGCCCAGGGGGCGCCGCGACGAGCAGGGGCGACGCCCCGGGGGCGTCGCGACGAGCAGGGACGGCGCCCCGGAGGCGTCGCGACGAGCAGGGACGACGCCCAGGGGGCGCCGCGACGAGCAGGGGCGACGCCCTGGGGGCGCCGCGACGAGCAGGGACGGCGCCCAGGGGGCGCCGCGGCGAGCAGGGGGGGGGGACGCCGCGCGGGTCCCGAAGGGGCGTCGCGACGAGCACGGTTTAGGGCGGCGCGCGGGCTGCAGAGGCAGTTCCCACGGGCTGCAGAGGCAGGCACGGCTGCAGGGGCAGCGCCCACGGGCTGCAGGGGCAGGCACGGCTGCAGAGGCAGCGCCCACGGGCTGCAGGGGCAGGCACGGCTGCAGAGGCAGCGCCCACGGGCTGTAGGGGCAGGCACGGCTGCAGGGGCAGGCATGGCTGCAGGGGCAGGCACAGCTGCTCGGAAGGGCGGCGCGCGGGCTGCAGGGGCAGCTCCCACGGGCTGCAGAGGCAGGCACGGCTGCAGGGGCAGGCACGGCTGCAGGGGCAGACACGGCTGCAGTGGCAGCACGGTCGCAGGGGCAGCACTCGGGGTGCAAGGGCAGCGCGGCCGCAGGGGCAGCTAAAAAAAAAATTCTGTTAGGGCAGGGCGGAACGTTCGGTGGGCCCTAGGAACGATTCTGCTCTAATACCATGTGAGAATAAGAACGAGGAATGATCTAGGAATGTGAAAGATACAAGTATGAAACCCTAGAAAAGCTGTACCCCCTATTGTCTACCCCACTACAGCCTACATTGGCTATATCATATATGTCTGACACAAGGACGCCTTTCACTCCCTTCACCCTTTCGAACGAGAGTTTACCTTCTACTCACAGGCGCATCAGGAGAGCTCAAGGATTGATCGAGCACTGGTCTCTCATTCCTTACTTCCACGCCTGGTGTCGGCAGCTCATGTCTCGCCTGATGAACCAGTCTCTGATCATGGCTTCGCCATCCGTGTTCCTTCAAACTCAAATCGCAGCTGCAGCTGGTGCCGGGGATTTGGCGTTTTCACCCTTAACTGCTGCACTGGCCGGGGCCTAAGAAAAGGATCGAGAAGGTTGATCGATCGGTCACGCAGAATGGAGGGAGTTTCATGACCCTCATCTCTCGCCTGAATGCTAGCTTACGGTCCTATGCAAAGGAGGAGAGCAAGAGGATAAGGGCAACCATTGCTCATCTTACTGCGGCAGTGGCTGCCTTACGTCAAGAGTTCATGAGGAACCCAAAGAATCAGGCGTCGAAAGAGCAGCGGAGGAAGAGGGAGCAGCAGCTTAAACAATATTTTGCGTGTCGAAGGGACATAATGCATACCATGGCTGGGATGGAGCTGGCGCTGTCGGGAGAGGTTCCCTCACCGCATCTGTCGGCGAGAATAAAGACGCGGAAAACCAGAACACAGATAGCGGAGGTAGCAGTATCAGGCGGAGTGGTATCGGAACCGAAGTGGATCTTGGATGCGGCGTCGGATTACTTCCGTAGTCTCTTTGGGGAAGACAAGCGAACGGCAGTATCGAACTGGAGCCCAGCTGCGGGGAAGAAGCTGCTGTACTTCGAAGCGGAAAGCCTACAAGGAGACTGGACGGAAAAAAATGTTAGGGAAGAGCTGCGGGAAATGGCTTACAACAAAACGCCAGGGAAGGATGGATTACCTAAAGAAGTATTTGAGCTGCATTGGGACGTGCTCGGGAAGCATGTCATGGCACTGGTCCGGGATTTCACGTCCACCTCCTCGCTCCCGACCAGCGTCAAGGACGCGGTGACGCTTCTCCTGCACAAAAAGGGAGCGAAGGAGCAGTTGGAGAATTACCGCCCCATCACGCTGCTAAACATGAGCTACAAGGTGTTGGCGCGGGTCTTGGCAAGTTTAATCAAGAGGATTCTCCACAGGGTGATCTCACAAGAACAGTTTGGCTTCATCTTGGAAAGGAGAATTTCAGATGCGGTGGGGTTGGTCGCGGATGTCATTGATGCAGCTAAGAACGGGAAGGAAGACTGGTTCATGCTGCTCGTCGACTTCAAGAAAGCGTTTGACTCAGTGTCACGTGGCTTCATCTTCGAGGTACTGGAGAAAACGGTCTTTTCGACTCGTTACATTGGCTGGGTGAAAGGCCTGCACACGAACGCGCGGACAAACTTGTTCATCAATGGCTGGCTAGGAGATGTGGTGGAGGTGGTCTCAGGGGTGAGGCAAGGCTGCCCCTTGGCGCCTTACCTCTTTCTATGTGCGGTGGAACCACTGGCGCAGAAGGTGGATAAGCGGAATCTAGGGATTACTCTCACCAGCTGTGTGGGTCAGAGGCTGGCTTACATCGGCTACGCGGATGACACGACCCTCCTGCTGCAAGGGAAACAACAGATTGGCAGGGCAGAGGAGGTGCTGGAGGATTTTAAGAGCATCTCTGGACTGGAGACGAATACGGGGAAATCGGTGGTGATGCCACTGGGCGCTAACCTGGGGAAGAAAACTTGGCGCTCAGATGGCTTCCGTTGGGCTGATGCAGATGAAGCGGAGAAACTCCTTGGGGTGTGGGTCACGCCGAGCGGGAGCTGTCAACTGACACGGGATAAAGCGTTGCAGAACATTGCTGGGAAGATGACGATGTGGCAGCCACAGTATCTCCCAATCAAGGCTCGAACGGCGGTGATGGACGGATATATCCTGCCGACCGCGTGGTCCCAAGCTCAAGTCTACCCACGGCCTGCGCAAACCTGGAGTGTGATCACCAAGATGACGCACAAATTAACATCGGAGAAATGCTTTCACATGTGGAGCAAGGAGCTGCTGTTCACACCGGTACTAGAAGGAGGAGTGGGGGCAAAAGATCCGGAGGCGATGCTCACTTGCTTGACGGCCAGGATAATTGGGCTGATACTTACTGAGACAGATCGGCTGAAACGGGACCTGATGAGCCAAGCTGACTTTTCCCCTCTCAGTTCTTTAGCAGCTTTTCATGAGACAGGAACGTATCCAGCCCCAGTGGTCAGCTGACTTACCACGGGGGCTGGATATGTTCCTGTCTCATGAAAAGCTGCTAAAGAACTGGGAGGGGAAAAGTCAGAGATGGAAACTGGCATGCACGAACTTCATGCGTTCTCCACTGGCGGTGTCCACGGAAGAGCGTGGGACAAAGGAAGTGCTGTTGGAACGAGTAATATTTAATAGGTTTATCCTCCTAAAGGGGACCACGCCGGTAGGAGGGCAGAAAGCAGCGCAGCGGTTGTTCGATGTCAGACTTGGCGATCTTGTTGGTCGGGATGCGGAGGGGAGAGGGGTGCTGAAAGTCTTGAAACCCTGGAGAGATAACTGCGGGGGAGGGATTCGGCAAACCTAGAGCTCAAAGCTTTCGCAGCAGCACCAGACTCCTAGAGGAAATAGCTCCTCTCTGCCAAGCTTCCCAGCGTGGGGTTTGTAGAGGTGTTTGAGGTGAAAAGAAAGGGCCCCCTGCAGCTCCGCGCAAAGCTTTTGGCGGAGGGGAAAGCAGTATCGTTGAGGGCACTCAGGAAGCATTGGAGACACAGCAACAGCGGAAAGAACAGGCGGGAGAAGTGGGCGAGCCGGTGGAGTGGTAACATCGACTGGAAGCGGGCAGTTCAGATTCGGGAATCACTTGTTACCCCAAGTCGGCCGAGAGATGTTTTGTTACGCATCCACTGCCTCAACGTGCAAGTTGGGGAAAGACTGGAATTCCTCAGCAGGAAACCAGTCTGCCCCCACTGTGGCGGTTTTGAGACTTGGGAACATTGCCTGCTGGAGTGCCCGAAAACCCAGGGGGTGGTTACTGCGGTAAAAAAGGCCTTACGGATGATCAATCCAGCCAGGCGAAGTAAATTGCTTGGTGATTGGTTGTTCGCCAAGGCGGAGTCCTTGTCAGCATTCCCAGAAGCATCATCGATAGCCATCGCTCTTCATCAGCTGTAGGCGGAACGTGGTGAGGGAGCCTTCCGTGGCTGTAAATTCCGCACGAGAAGGGTTCTGCGGAGGATTGAGTCGGCCTTCCGCATGCATATGAACGTCTACGTGCGTGCCTCGGTGGCGAGGATGCAGCAGCGAGGGAAGCAGCAGCAAGCCAGGTGGCAGAAAATGACGGAAAAGGAACGTAATCTTTTGAACCGTATCAGATTGGTGGACGGCAAAGGTTGGAAATGGTCCCGGATGGTTAGCGGCAATTTGGGGCAAGCCACGCAGGCCTCGGATCCATGTCTGAGGAACAAAAATTCTGAGGCGGGTCCTCGTGTCTCTCGCGCACAGTTACGACTGTTTATGCGTTGTACACTTATGTTCTGGTGTATAATCCATGTGAGCAAAAAAAAAAAAAAAAAAAAAAATGGACAGCTTTGCCTTCTTGCCTTTGTTAGAGCAGCGCTTTCCCTTCCGCATCCACTTTCCGATGTTCCCAAATGTGTCCCAATCGATGGTGCATGTCCAGACCTCTTCCTCCTCCTCTTCTCCCTCATCTTCCACGACTGGAAGTGGAACGACAATGCACCTCTCCTTGAGCGTGCTGTCACTAAGTTCGGCGTACAGCTTCGTGCGTGCCGCCTCCTTGCGGTCAAAGGCTGCACGCGCTCAGCGACTGAATGCCACAGATGTGACATCAACCATGGTCCTTGCACTCAAGCGGTTCCGATCCCGCCGCTGGACTCGGGCCAAGGCCGGCCAATAACGCTCGACTTCGGAGGACGTGCCAGGTTGAGAAAGCGACGTCACGGCCAGCTGTTACAGTGCCCGCACCTCCCCACCGTACATCTCCCACCACTCTGCGTCGCTCAGCCGCCTGCTCTCCACCAAGGTGGTAGCTGCCCAATGTGCTTCCACCGATCCCAAGCGCCCTTCTCCCTTGTGAAAGGCCGCCAGCTAGGCTGCAATGTTGATTCGCCCCTGCACGTCCCCTCCCCTAGCATTTATCACCTCCTCCGCTCCAGCTCTCACTTCGGCACCATTTTGCACTTCCCCCGAGAATTGGTTCCGGGGCTAAATAGCCACCCGAAGGCGTGCAGCGGGTTGTGGAGCTTGCCATCCCACTGCTTCGCTATGATAGCCTTCACATCAGCCAAGGACCCGGGCTTATCCTTAGCGGCCAGCAGCCCCGTGCGTTTGACCAGAACGGTTCCTGCACATGCGCAAAGAAGAAGAGTTGAGGTGAGTGAGTGAGATGAGATACACATTACATGAGAGGGGGTAATTTCAACAAAGGCGAGAGACAGTTGACATTTAATGAACTTACCCGCCGCCCCAGCTGCATCATTTGTCTTCACGGTGGCCTCTAGCATGAGGCCATAAATCTGGCCCATGACTAGAGACCTCCTGTCAACGGTCCTTACAACCTCGTACACGGGGTTCATAAGGCCGAGAATCACTGTGATCGACCCCCAAAAGGCATCTTCCAACAAGAGCTTACGGATGGCTTTGCCCTCATCCGAACGTGCCACCGCCACCTCCTGCCACTCCTCGGATATCACCATCTCCTTCAACGACTGCTTCACCTTAAGGAAGCGAGTGATCATGTTGACTTGAGTGCCAAAGTGGCTGGCACCCGGTTGGACGAGCTCCAACTCGCTGAACACCTCGCGGAATAGGGCCACGGCCGATGCGCTGCCCTTCATTATCATGACAATGCGGTGGACCTGATTCAACACCCGCTTCACGGCTGCAATCTTACCCATGTCATGCAACATCAAATCAAGCACATGAGCAGCGCAATTGGTGAAAAAAACATGGGGAAACCCATCATGCAACAATGCAGCCGCCTTTTTGTCGTTTGCCGCGTTGTCCATCACCACTTGGACAACGTGGCGATCTCCGGACTTGCAGATGGCACGCTGGATGAGACTGCTGAGATACTCTCCCGTCTTCTTGGTGATCTTTGAGTCGATGCACCCGACGATCACCGGTGTCGTGTGATTGTGTGCGATCATGCAGACCATGCCACGGCTCTTGAGGCACGTCCAACGGTCAACACTCAAAGTGCAGCCATTAGTTGCCCAGTTGTCCTTCATCGGCTTGATGAGGTCTTCTGTTTCAGCGACCAGCTTCTCGAGTAGTGCGCTGCCCACCCTGGACGGTGAAGGAAGCGTATATGGCCTCCCGAATGCAATGGCCGCATCCACGAATGACTGCATTGCCATTGACTTGGAAACGCGAAACACCAAGTCATTGTCAGCCACCGCAGCAGCCCATAAATGATCCAGCCACTCACGACCTGCCACGTCCACCAAATCACGAATATCCCTCTGCCTTGACCGGCGGAGGGGCTGCAACTCCGCCGTTGAGGTCGAGCCACCGCCAGAATTCCCTCCGCTTGTTGTTGAAGGGGCTTCTAAGGCCGTTGCTTGCAGCTGCTTCGCGAAATCTGATGGGCACATCGCGATGTTCTTGTGTCTCCTAGCTGGGGTGCCATAGAGATGCTCGCCGATTCTAGTGTCATTAGAGGTAATCGACTGGTGGCAGTGAAGGCACGCGCAAGTAACAGTACCATCTGGGGCCGTCTCCTTCTTGACGTGCTCCCAGTTGGCGGAAGTAGGTCTAACCATGAGGGGAGGCTCTACTAGAGCGTTAAACCAGGAAGTGAAAACAAGAAAGCTATGCTTTGCCAAACATGTGTCGAATGCAATTTTGCCACCCTGTGCACCAGGGCGCGAAAACCCATCTGACACGTGGCGAAATGGGCGAGTTGTCTGTTTCGAAATTGGCGCCTTGGGAAAATGCTGACTTCAATACTCGGGAATGAAAATCGAGTTGCGAATGTTGAATCATTGGTCTGAATATTCAAACATGCGACTCGGGGAAACAGGGAATTTCACGACTCGGGAAAAAAACCGAGGCCCATGTCAGAACAAACCTGCGCACAATGTATTGAGTGGCATGGTCTTTCAGTAATTCTAAAATTATGTGTACACCATCCGGGACCGTACAACACGACCGTTTTTTTGCACCAAATAGAAATAACAGCATTTAGGCGTTTTAAAGTGTTTTATGCGGCCGAAAAAAAACATCGTATTATCCACCAGAATTACAAAATTTCGGCCGTCATTTTGCACCTTGTCCATGGTGTCATGAACCACTAGCGTCTTCCCCAAGCTGCATATTGCATCTTTTATGAGGCCCGCGAGATAAACTCCGGTCTTTTTCCGCGGTCTTTGAGTTGACGATGTCAACTATGACAGGCGCAGTGTCGTTGTGTGCGATGACGCACACTCCGCGGGATTTGAGGCACGTCCACCCGTCCACCGAGAGACTACAGCTGGTAGTCTTCTAGCTCTCCATAAGCGGCTTCACAAGCTCCTCGGAGTCGGCTCTAAGCTTGGCGAAGAGCGGGCCGGACACTTTGTAGGGGGTAGGTAATGTGTACGGCTTCACGAAGATGACGGCCGCATCGACGAAGGCTTGAAGGGATTTGGACTTGGACACGTGGAACGCGAGGTTTTTCTCTGCCACAAAAGCCGCCCACACGTAATCTAGACGCCCGCGAGCAAGGTCATCCGTCATCTCCCGAATATCACGCTGCCTTGCACGCCTTGCGGGCTGCAACTCAATAGTGGTAGAGGTAGAAGCACGGTTGGATCCGTTTGGTCTAGAAGCGCGTTCCTCTCTGCGGCTTATAAAGATGTTTTGCATAATCTGACTGGCACAGCGACATGTTCTTAACTCTTTTACCAAAGGACTCGTAGAGGTGCTCTCTAATGCGCATCGCATTCGGGGTCACGGTTGATGGGCAATGGACGCATGTCGCGATGAGTTCGCCTTTTGGATGTCAGTAGAGCTACACTGTGAGATCCCCGATCGATCCTAGGGGGGGTTACAGGCGCGTTTGCCTGGGGGGTTATGGGCGCACTGACCCGCTACTGAAAAAAAGCCCTTTTATCCCAATGGTCTAGTGGTTGGGATTCTGACATGGTATCAGAGCGGTCTCGGGTTCGAATCCCGGTGTATGCACATGTTGGCCGTTGCCACTGTGCTCAGTCCTGGGCCTCCCAGTGTGGGGGGGTGTCAGTAGAGCTACACTGTGAGATCCCCGATCGATCCTAGGGGGGGTTACAGGCGCGTTTGCCTGGGGGGTTATGGGCGCACTGACCCGCTACTGAAAAAAAGCCCTTTTATCCCAATGGTCTAGTGGTTGGGATTCTGACATGGTAGCAGAGCGGTCTCGGGTTCGAATCCCGGTGTATGCACATGTTGGCCGTTGCCACTGTGCTCAGTCCTGGGCCTCCCAGTGTGGGGGGGTGTCAGTAGAGCTACACTGTGAGATCCCCGATCGATCCTAGGGGGGGTTACAGGCGCGTTTGCCTGGGGGGTTATGGGCGCACTGACCCGCTACTGAAAAAAAGCCCTTTTATCCCAATGGTCTAGTGGTTGGGATTCTGACATGGTATCAGAGCGGTCTCGGGTTCGAATCCCGGTGTATGCACATGTTGGCCGTTGCCACTGTGCTCAGTCCTGGGCCTCCCAGTGTGGGGGGGTGTCAGTAGAGCTACACTGTGAGATCCCCGATCGATCCTAGGGGGGGTTACAGGCGCGTTTGCCTGGGGGGTTATGGGCGCACTGACCCGCTACTGAAAAAAAGCCCTTTTATCCCAATGGTCTAGTGGTTGGGATTCTGACATTGGACCCTTCGACTTCGTAACATGCTCCTACATCTCCGAAAACGGTCTCACCATGGTGACTCCCGTATGTTGAGTGGAGGCTCACCAAGCCTACTAGCTAGCAAGATGTTGTCAAGTGAGTTCTGGAGGCTGCTATTTGTACCTGGTTTGACTTGCTGGTGTTGCGTTGGTGAATGGAATATGCAAAAGGGATGAGATGGAAGGGATGGAGAATGGACTATCGCTATTGGTTGGAAGGGTTTCGCAGCGCGAAATTGAGTTGTGTAGCACATGCGAGCGAAAAAAAGGAACGGGTCGCGAAACGACCCACCAACCTGGCGAAACGGGTACAATTGTGTTAGCCTTTCGCCAGATGTACAAATTGGCGCGTCGCACAAATTTATACATTCGCGGTTCGGCGAAATGCACAAAAGAGTGTGCGAACGGGCAACAAAGGCGTTGAACGTTCGTCAAATGCACAATGTCGCGGCTCGAGAATTTGCTCCCATTCGCTGTTCGGGAAAAGCACACTCGCAATTGGGTTTGGGCGCACGATATTTCTCACAAAGAGGTAGACTGTTGAAAAGCTTGAAATTCGCTACAAAGAAACTCGGTTTCAAAAATACGATCGTAATTTACGACCGTATTTTTAAACCAACCTATTTTTGTAAAGTACCACCGTATTATACCGTACTTTACGACCATAAGTTACGATACAGTAAATTACGGCAAAATTTCAAACATACGGTCGTATTTTTGAACCCTGCTTGGAACAGAATGATAGCTCAAAACAGAAGCACCATAAGAACCCCAATGACAGTTGATCTAATGAACTTCATGGAGGCAAGATGTTACATGAAATTCCGAGTTTGGGCTAACCATAAGCAACGATTATCAGAGTTGAGCAAAGAAACGAACTCTTGTTCGGTTCGCCTTGAACATTTTCGTGTTCGAACGGTTTTTTTTCGCCAAAATTGTTCGTTGCGGACGTTCGCCAAAGTGGGGGAGAACAAGGGGTCACAAGACCAGTCAAGCAAAGCAAAGCAAAGCAAGCTCAGGGTGGATCACAACGTCACCCAACATTTCGAGCACAGGTTCAAAGGCCACAAGGCCAGTTCACATGCAGGATTATATATAAAGGTAAACATGCAGGTGCAGGTATATATAGATCACAGTACAAGCAAAGTCAAGAGGTAAGCAAGTGAGGCCAAGTAGGCACAAGACCTAGCATAGTACAGAAGCGCTGATGATCACAAGGCTGAAGTGCCTTGGTGAAGATATCAGCAGTGTTGGCCCGAGAGGCCACGTAAGCAAGGCGCAGCTGACCACGCTACTGCAGCTCACGAGCAAGGAAGTAGCGAAGAGCAATGTGCTTCGTTCTGTGCTCCAGTCTGTGCTCCCGACACAAGGCCAGCATGGCCTTGTTGTCTACGTACAGAACTGGAGGAGAACGAGGCGGCTCTCCTAGGTCAATCAACAGGTAGGTGAGCCAGCGTAACTCCTGTGCAGCCATGGCCCCTGCGTAGATCTCAGCCTCACAGCTGGAGCTGATAACAGAAGACGAGCGGGTAGACCGCCACGAAACAGAGCCGGAACCAAGGCTGAAGGTGTAACCCTGTGACGACCGCTGCGTAGCCAGGTCGTCAACCCAAGACGCGTCTGCGTGACCAGTGAGAACCACTGGACTCCGCCCTCCAAGCACGAGCCCCATGCCCGACGTACTGCACAAGTAGCGCAACACCCTCTTTGCTACATCCATGTGCTCTGGTCGGTGTCTCCCAGGAGCAACATAGTGTGCCAAGATGCTAAGAAGGTATGCCAGGTCAGGTCGAGTGCAGGTCATCAGGTACATGAGGCAGCCAACAAGCTCTGGGTACGGGCCATTCGGCTCTACGGACTCATCGGAAGGCAGAGCTGAGAGCAAGTGGCGAGTAGACAGAGGAGTGGACTGAGGCGAGGAGTACGTGAAGTCGAAGCGCTGAAGGACCTGCTGCACCATGTGTGACTGAGTCAGGGTAATGGTGCGCCGTGCTCTGTCCCGGGTGATCTGCAAGCCAAGATAGCTGCGCAGTTCACCCAGATCTGTGCACGTGTCTCTTCTGCAGCTCGGACATCACGTGGGCGAGTCCAGCAGTGTCAGCAGTAGCAAAGACCAAGTCGTCGACGTACACGAGGATGGAGAACGGCGGCAAAGAGGTGTCGGTGCGTAGAAACAGCGACGGGTCGGCAGTAGAAGGAGCAAACCCAAGAGACGCAAGTGTAGTCCTCAGTGTGACGTGCCACTCACGGGGCGCCTGGCGGAGACCGTAGACTGGCCGCCGGAGGCTCCACTGGGTACCAGGAGGAAACGACCCAGTGAAGCCAGGTAAGCGGCGCAGCCAGATCTCCTCGTGCAGGCTGCCCTGTAGGAAAGCAGTGCTGAAGTCAAGAGAGTGAAGCTCGTAGTCGCGCTGAGCGGCTATGTGCAGCAGCACCCAAAGAGTGGTCATCTTCGGGGTGGGAGAGAAGGTCTGAAAGTAGTCAACCTCCCGCCGCTGACTGAAGCCTCGAGCCACGTAACGCGCCTTGAAGACAGGCGGAGAACCCGGCGGCCGCTTCACCCTGAAAATCCACATGCCACTGACGATGTTCACCCCAGGTGGGGGAACCTCGTCGACGTAGGTGCATGTGGACTTCCAGGAAGCCATCTCTGCGTCCATGGCTGACTGCCATTCAGAGGAGTAGGGACCCTCTATCGCCTTTGCGTAAGAGCGCGGGGTCGGGATGTCTGATGCATCCGGGTC